GTTCAACAAGGCATGATGGGAGTTGTAGTGACATAATCATAAAAMGTACTCAAAAACACCCCGAAATCACTGACGAGTTTTCATAGATTTAAGAAAGCCCACGAAAAATTCTCATATACACTAAATAGTCCTCCTGAGCCTTGTCTTAACGTCTGGTTATAAAGATTGTTTCATTTCCTATCTTAACAAATTTGTTCATTTCAAATTAAATGCTAATTGCGAATAAGTCCTAGTAAAAAGTGTTTTTATTACCCTCCAACAAAATTGCCGCCGCGTCGTCGAAGTCYAACAGCCAAAAAAATGACTGAGGGCACACATGTTGCCAATAGTAATTGTCTTATCTTCCAAGGGTCTCAAATTGTTTTAGAGACAGAATTCGAAAACGGTCTATAGTATAGTGATAGCTTAAACAACTTCCCGAGATACATTTTTCGCGTGATCAGTTCTGTGCTGTGATGATAATTACAGGGCATATAGTCCTACTGAGCAGCATCTATCAGTATATCATAGAGGTCGKACGCACTTCTGTACTTTTAACTTAAGCTTTTAAGTGGGTGTCTCGTGGTTTACGTATTAACCTARCACATATGTATCGTGACAAACGCCTATCACTAAGCGATGTGCTCTAGCGAGTCWCGTGATCCATTCTCTTATATACAACACAGATAGCAACAACTCACGTCTCTAAAATAATATACCTGGAATCAAAAATGTCTCCACACAATTCAGTATTCAGTGTTTATTTAGATTTAAGAGACGTTATGACGATTTAATTAAAGCTAAAATTTGATTTTGAAGTTTAACCGTAATATACCTCAAAATGGCCTCAGTCCTAGTAATATTAATTTTCTAGTTTCAAATTTCAAATTTTACGCTAAGATTYTYTTCTGCYCTTTGTTTTTTACCCTCTGTTTATTTCAGAAAACAAGCTMTAGATTTAACTAATCTACAATGGTGGAGTGTTGTCTTTCAATTATGAYAGGGGGTATTGCTTCTTTTTTCTTATGTGTGTGAGGGAGGTGGAGTGGGGGGCGTCATTAACTTTTCTATTCTTTACACTCGCTACTCAACCCCCATTCCTAATGATTATCCCGCAGTCTCTTACTTTATTCCAGCTGTCTGTATATATTACTCTGTCATGAAAAAACGGTTTGTAGTGTGAAACCTTAAAAAATCAATTATTAACATCAAATAAACWATAAACGTCTGCTAAAAGTTTTATTTTAACCTTCATATGTAATAGGATCTAACCGTAACCGTTATATAGGCCTAATTTGAACCGTTATCCGTAATGGCAACTACTCAATTGAGACCATTAAGAACCGTTCAAAATTGAAAACGCACCGCCCACTAACAATGACTAGTC